CCCCCCTTATAACTAAACTCAACTTCCCCTTTCCTGTGTTAGTGTTAAGTTATCGTCATCCGTCCTGGTCGCAGTCGTCGTCGTGCACATTGGGTTGCCGACACTATACACTCACAGGCGGCACGACGTAGAGTTGCCTATACGGTAGAAAGAAGGCGTTCATCATTTAATTAATTTTTTCGTTCTTGGTCATACCAAGTGGTCCCTCGACTGGATGCGATTCATATCGAACAACATCAGTATAATATATTACAGAGATGTAGGTCCTTACTAATTATATGGTACAGAAGACAATTAGTACATAGTAATTAAAATATTATAGAAAGGCATCAATCTAAATGCCAAGGTGAATCGCATAGGACGAGTGATTTAGCATTCACTAGGTCCGGGTCAACTATGAGAAACGGGGTATATAAGGGAGTCCCGAATAGACCTATATTCAGATGTGGTTTACAGGTAAAGACGCAAGCACCTTCACGCCACATTATTTCTTATATTAATGTTTTCATACTAAATAAACAGTTTAATTTACAATTGAGTATTTTTTATTGAAGTATTATCCTTCAAAACTTAACTATCAAATACGATTGAGCGAAGGTACGCAACAATGTCCATTTTAAAATAATAATTAAACTTTTATAATATTGAACAAATACTCTGAACACAATCGACGAAGAAATGAAGTAAAATTCTTAATCAACCGTAAATATTGTACATTTGGTCTCTAATCGTTTTACAGTTATCGCGTTTTTAAGTGGTTATTGTCGTTATAATAACCTAGAGTTTATTAAATTGTGTTATATTTATTATACTGATATAATATTAAGTGCTAAATATCTCATTTTTATCTTTTTTTTTTTTCCATTTTGTCCGCCTAAATTTGTATTTCCGACCACTGTGCGACGATGACACTGCCGATGGCTTGAATGGCGATGTGGAAAGGACAAGCCACGCACACGAAGTTGACGGACCACGGCAAAAGGGATAATACGCTCGGCGGTGATACGCACGACGGTAACATGCACGACGGCAAAGTAAAAGTCACACACCCGGCGGTAACATGCACGACGGCAAAAGAAACGTCACACACCCGGTGGTAACATGCACGACGGCAAAAGAAAAGTCACACGCCCGGTGGGAATGCGCACCACCAGCTCGCTCGGTTGCAAGTGTCGCCCCGGAGTGTGATGCCAGCGCGACGAAGCGCGCCGACCGCAAGTTCGCGAACATTCCATAATTGGCACGCTATCGGGGGGAACCGGTTGTCGTGGCCAGACACAAATACAATAGCTCAGCGTTTCCCAAATAGTGGGTCGCGACCCACTACCGGGCCACGAAAATATAATACCGAGTCGCAGAATTCAATAAAATTCTTATATCAAATTTGTTATTTATCATTTCATTTGATAATTCGAACTTTTTAGTAAAAATAAATAAACGAATAACTAATATTTACGACATAAATAATTTAATTATTGAGATTATCAACTAGACTTCATGCAAAGCCCGTATAGCATTCGCTGTATCTATAAATACGGTATAATAGTAACAAGTACATGCGACAAGCGTCGTTGGTTGTGGACATTCAAATGTGTTTTATTTTGCCTTTTTTGCGCAACGATAAATGTTAAATATTTTGGTGAAGGTAAAAAATAATAATTACCGGGCCAGCCTAAACAAGAGTTTGGGAAACGATCCAATAGCTTGTTCGAACATATATATAATAATAATATAATATAATATACTCGTATTTAGCAGTAGGTATCTAAATATGTATACTTATTTATAATCCTCCCCCCCCCCCCGTTAAGGTAGGCTGGATGCGCTTGCACTATTGGATACAAGTATAAACCCGGAATTTTGAAATTATACTGTATATATTTATACCGTATATATCTGGATCCAAGATTTTTAGACGGCGAGTCCGTATACACCTAGAATGCAGAAATCTGAATTATATTTATTTGTTTTAAATGGTTAGGTAGGTAATAAAAAGCAATATATATACAGTCCAGATTTTTAAATTCCAGATTTATATGTGCTCCCATACTATTATTTATGTCTTATTATAGTATTACACTATCCATACTACTGCCTAGAGTGACTTGATAATAAGAGTGTTGTTCCTGATTGGTTATTAATATTATCCGCCATTAGTAGGCTAATATTTTTTTGATATCAACTGATATTATATGAGTGCTGGTTATATTGTATATAATTTTAAACTGTAAATTGTGTTTTAAGTTTCAAATAGGTATTCAATTAATTTTTTTAAGTGACTACACGCTTACACCTATGTAAGTATACCTATAATTATATTTATTCATTGTTATACCGAGTTGTCTGATGAGATATTTACTATAACTATATAGTACGTTTGAAAGTACCAATAATATTTATCACTTGTTTATTTATTATTATAATTTATAGTATTGCAAAAATGCCTGGATGTGCTGCTATTGGGTGTTCGAACTCATATAAAAAAGGATTTCTTATGAAATATTTTCCAAGAGAACTGGCTCGAAGGAAATTGTGGCTATAAAAAATGAAGAGAGATAATTGGGTTCCAAATAATAACTCATGTCTTTGTGAAGTATGTGGTGGATAAAATATTTATTTTTATTGTATTTACTTTTTATTGAATTCAGTTTAAAATTGTATTACTTGATATTAGATATTTTATTGATTAATTTGTTTTTTTTTTTATATATTTTATCATTAACTTTAAAGAATTTAAAAATCTAATAGTTACCCTATTATAATTTATTTTAGACTCATTTTAAGCCAGATATGTGGGAGAAAATACGGGAAGATGGTAGTTAAGAGGGTAGTTACCCTATTATAATTTATTTTAGACTCATTTTGAGCCAGATATGTGGGAGAAAATACGGGAGATGGTAGTCGCCGTCTTAAACACAATGCTGTTCCTACCTTATTTTCTTTTACAAAAGAGGTTAAGAAACAAAAACCACCGAAAAATAGGCAAATGACAAAACCATTAGATCCCAAAATGGAAGTAAATAGTGTTGATGACTCAAAGCCATCAGATAATAATTTAAGTCATGTACAAGGTTTGTCTGATGGTATTATTCATAATAATTTGTCTAATAATGATCATCTATACAAGTCTATGGTTTTTAAAATTAATCGCTATAAAAAACAGATAAGATTTTTATCTGATAAATTAAAAAAAAATGAAACTAATAAAAGTGCCAAGCTTTTGAATTCTATATTTAACAATGACCAAACAGAAGCTTTGTCTAAAAAATCTACTAGATTCATGAAGTGGTCTAATCCTACTATTTGCAAAGCTTTAAAGATAAAATTTAGTTGTGGGAACAACGGTTATGAAGAAGTTTTGAAACAGAAAATTCCATTGCCTTCTCAAAGAACTTTAAGAAGATTACAGATGTTAAAATTTGATAGCGGTATACTAGATGAAGTTTTGAAATTTTTAGAAATTAAAGTTCAAACGTTTCAAGATACACATGAAAAAGAATGTGTTCTTATCATGGATGAAATGGCAATAACACCCTCAAATGTATTTGATGTGTCTTTAAATAAAAATGTAGGCAATATTACTTTGCCTAATCATGAAGGAACTGCAACTAATGTGTTAGTTTTCATGTTAGGGGGCATACCTACCAGATGGAAACAAGTTGTTGCATATTATTTTACAGGATCCTCAGTTAATGGAACAGCTTATAGTAATATCATAACAGATTAATTATAAAATGTGAATCAATTGGATTAAAAGTAATGGCTATCACATCAGATATGGGTTCTAGTAATCAACGACTATGGAAACATTGGAATATTACTACTAAAAAATGTTGCAAGGTGTCTAATTTTATACCTCATCCTTTAGATGATAATAGAAAATTGTTTGTTATTGCTGATGTGCCACACTTATTCAAAAATATTAAAAACATGTTAATGACAAACAAAGTATTATTTATTTCCAATGAACTTCAAGAAAAATATGAGCTTCCAACAAATATAGTATGTTCTGATCATATACAAGATGTAATTAATTATCAAGATCAACTTCATTTCCATTTAGCCCCTAAGTTATCTCAAAATGATTTAGTTCCCAGTCACTTTCAAAAAATGTGAGTTGGAAAATCGACTAATGTAATCAGCCATGATGTTTGTTCAGCTTTGCGATTTCTTGCTGATGAACTAAGCAGACCTGAATATCTCACTACTGCATGGTTTATTGAAATTATTGAACACTAGCTGAATTACCCGTCGTTGTCGGGTTTAAGTATATAAATGTATGTAACCTGCCAAGATTAAATTTTGTTAAATCTATTGAAATTTAAATTAATTAAGATTTTTGAAATAATATTTTATACATATTAATTTAGTTTTTAAGATAATGATTATTATCATAACCTATTCGATAAGTTATAACTTACAACTACCTGAACCTCTCTACAGTTTGGTATTCTGTTGAATACATATAGCATCTCACTTCTCCGAAAAGTTCATGGTCTTTTTGACTTTTAACCGAAACACTCTTGCAATTATATCATGTCGATCATATGATCTTTGACCGGGAAGTAAGAGCTCTTTTATCTCGTCCCAGCGAGGATTACATGTAAAAGTAATAAAAAGGTCAGGACGACCGTAATGTCTAACGTAGGTCATAGCATCTTGTGTTCTTTCGTGCATGTACCTTGGCCCACCAATAAAAGTTGACGGGAGTATAACCATTCGGCCTAACAGATTAGCTTCTATGTCTCGTCGTCCAATCGCATCTTTTAAATGAATATAACTATCTGCACGTAATTTGGCTTGGTTGTTTTTGATGTAATTTAGTCTTTCAGTTTCAATTTTGGCGTATTTATCTACCAAATATTGACTGAAAAGAGAACGATAATTAACTAAATAGTTGTCTTCCCCTTCTCTGACCATTATTCTGTATGAGTAAAAACTTGATGCAGAGACAGTTTTTTTAAGCGGTAACTTGGTTTTTGGATCGCGTTGTGGTATATTGATTGCATCCCCCCAACAAAACATTAAAGGATACTGTAGTGCGTCGTATGCTCGATGTATCTCACTGATACGGTGAAGTGAGTTACTTCGGTTTTCGAGGATGATGTCTCTTCGATCAAACTGCTGATCTACTAACACTAAAGCAACATAATTTGCCGTTGGTGCATTATACCTGCCTCTATGTTCTTCTGGTGGTTTTCTTATCTGTATGTATTACAACTTTAAATGCCTCTGAAGGAGATATTTTATCGATGGTAAATTGTAATAATCAATTATAAATTATGCGGTGGCATGCCTAGTAAATCCAATGAGTTTAAAAATTCTGTTGGATAATTTACAACTTCAGTAACATCGCAAACTGTATCTAGATTTGTATGACACCAAGTTTAATTTCACTACCAACAAAATATCTAATAAATATAGATAATCGAGCTGAACCAGTAATATCAGTGCTCTCGTCAAGACAAATTGAAAATACATTGCACAACTTAAAATCTGCAATTTGTTGATTTAAGATATTTTCTGCAATTTTTAAAATCCGATCTTTTACAGTATTTCTGGTTATTGGTAAATCCTTTATGCGTTGCATAATTTTATCTTTATTAGAAAAATCTTCAAATAGAAATGATGCAGTTTCCAGCATCAAATCTTTAATATATTCTCCATCGCAAAAGGGCTTTCCGCGTTTTGCAATGACATTTGATACAGCAAAACTTGCGGCAACAATATTTGAATTGCTACCTACAAACTTCATTAATGTATTTGTCTGCAAATTGTTGTTCTTAATTGCTTGTAGAATATACTCTTTTTGTTCTTCTTTTGTTTTTTTCAAAAGAAAATTATGATTAGTTTCATAATGTCGTTTAACAGATGATGTTCTACATACTATTGTGGTTGAACATAAAATACATACTGCTTTATCGCCTTTTTTAACCATACCATAATCTTCAGTCCATGAATTTTGAAATTCTCTGCTACTACAACTACTAATATTTAATTCACTAATTTTTCTTTTTTTTTGGTACAAACATATTAAATAATGTTAAATAAAATATAATAATCGCGCACGAAACACGAAACACGCACGACGCACTTACAAATTGACAGACGTATTTGTACTGATTAGTGTTTACTGAGGTAGGTTTATTACTCTCAATAATAATATAGGTATTATTATTTTATCTACAGATAAGAATAATCGTTAATGACCGATAAAAGCCGTATGCTCAAAATATTTTTACCTATTACCTATATTCTATAAACTATAATACTATATATTATATAATAGTAAAAATTTTCGAGTGCCCACAAAATCTTTTCGCGTGCCATCTCGGGCACGCGTGCCATGGATTTGCCATCCCTGGGATATACCGTAGAGTTGTGCAAATTAATATAATGTAAAGATAAAATGTTCATTTTGATTATTATCATAGTTCCGGGAATTTGTATTTTAGTCGATGTACGATAAACGTGATAACGGATTACACACACTGATGTTCATTTACTATTTTATATTTTATACATTTATATTATTGCGTGGGCGTTAATCGCCATATTTACTCTTTATTATTATTATTCTATTTGGTTATAAGGACCGCATACTAAATTATATTTATATTAGCTTTAATTTATACCTTTGTGATTTTATTTATTATGTGAATTTTATATAGTATATTATAGGCATAGGTAGCGGCTGGCCAGCAGTTCACCGACAAAGCCGTGAGTTATATTACATTTTTACATATATTTTATATATTATACATTTCATTTGTAAGGTCAAAAGGGCCGTATATTTATTATTTTGTTGTGCTAGAAGGGCTGCGTAGCATTATTATTATTATTTTATTTGGTTATAAGGACCACACATTATTTTTTATATTATATTTTTCTTCTGTTTGGCCATAAGGGCCGAGCACTCATACATTATTATTTTATTATTATTGTTGGGCCAAAGGGGTCAAATCCTTTTTATACATTATCAATTGTTATATCTGGTTGTACCGAATCAGCATTTTGGTAAGGCTTATTATTATATAACATATACATTTTTACTTGTTGGGCCAAAAAGGGCCGTAATTTATTAATTATATTGTTTATTATATCATATCTTTACTAGAATTATTTGAGTTACCGTTTATCTAAGTTACTTATTTGTCATTAGTTAAAAGCATACACACACTAACACATATATACACTTACACACCACTATAACACATAGATCACTAGTATTTGCGCGGCGAACCCAACCAATTCTAGTTGAGCTCAGGGAGGGCCGGTTATAGGCGTAGACGACGTAGGCGCAAGCCTACGGCGGCAAAATTTATATTTATATAGAGGCGGCATATAAGAAAAAATTAAATATCTTATTTTTCACGTTTATTTTAGATTTGAACATATTTTAAAGTACAATATACAAACATAATATGTAGATCGATAAAATTCCAAAACAACAATCAATAAAAATATAGATTATTATTCCCTCAATTGCGATAACGTCTCGACTCATGTTGTGCCATTACAATTTAATCGATAATGTCACAATGGCTGTTGTGTGTCATTCACTCTTACTGTACAGTGTAGTGTAGGTACATTCTTAATCGAGCTCAGCAATATAATTTTTTTATAAATCAACTATCAAGGCATATACATATATCAAGACTACATTACATAATAGGTAAATAATATAAATATATATTTTTAATTTACTGTTAAATTATTATTTAAATTTTTTTTTTTTTTTTTTACAAGATATTTACAATCTATTCATAGAACAATAAGTAAATTTGATAAGAGTAATAAAAACATGAAAAATATGACGGAAGAAGCCACCCAATGATGACACTACCTATTTTGTTTCAGATTAGTAAGGGGATTTTCTAGGGGTCATGCATTTAGCAGGTCACGACACCAGTTGCGTTTAAGACGCCTAGCGGGATTACCCGGAATCGAAGGGATTGCCAGATTTTTTATAAGAAGGTTAGGATGGTTGGGTAACCTACTGTGAAAACGCTTATAATAAATTTTTGCTTCGTCTTTGACGGAATTCATCCTGAGATCTTGTTGTATAAAATGGTTGGAGACGTAAGGTGGGGCATTAAGTAGTTTCCTTAGCGCAATATTTTGAAAAGTTTGAATCTTGTTGATGTTGGATTTTTTTGCATTACCCCAGAGCTGTATGCCATATGTCCAGATGGGCTTGATTAGAGATTTATAAATAAGAAGTTTAGTTTTAATGTTTGTGTATTTATTGTTATTGCAGAAAGTTTTTAACAAGTGCAGCCGTAGGTTTAAATTTTGTCTTTTATATTTAAGGTGAGGAGCCCAGGTAAGTCTGCGATCAAGTGTAAGTCCTAAATATTTGACAGTGGAAGAAGTAGGAATTTGAGTACCATATATAGATACCTCGGGGCATGGAGAGAGACGCAGTGTAAATGTAGTGTGGATAGATTTTGTCTGGTTAACTTTAACTCGCCACTTGGTATACCAGTCTTCCATAAGGGTTAGGTGTTTTTGAAGATTGTATGAAGCTATTTCCGGATTTGAATTGATAGATATAATTGCCTTATCGTTTGCATAATCAGCTACTAAAGTGTTTGGTATGGTAGGTTGGTCAGCAGCATAAATGTTATAAAGTATGGGAGAGGGTATACCCCCTTGGGGAACACCGGCTGTAATATTGGATATAGTTGAGTGTGCATTACCGAATCTGATTTGAAAATGACGGTTTGATAGGTATGATTTAATGGTTAGGTAAAATACAGGGTGGAAGATTTTTTTTAATTTGACAAGAAGACCATCGTGCCATACCCTGTCAAACGCTTGTGACACATTTAAGAAGGCACAAGTACAATACTGTTTTTTTTCGAGTGAGTACGAGATGGCATCGATAATTCTGTGTACCTGATGAATGGTAGAGTGGGCAGAACGGAAGCCAAATTGGGTATCAGGTAGAATCGAGTTTGAGATACTAGGTAAGATGCGCTTAAGGATCAATTTTTCCAGAATTTTTGCGAAAAAAGGCAGAAGACTAATAGGACGGAAGAAGATACGGTATCTGGAGGTTTTTTAGGCTTGGGAATCATAATAATAGTTGAAAATTTCCATAATATTGGAAAGTAAGAAAGTCTTAAAATACAATTAAAAATGTGGGTGAGGTGTATTATAGCTTTTTTTGGTAAGCATCTGGCCACTTCGCCTGTTATGAGATCAAAACTTGGAGATTTTTTCTGTGGGTACTTATCAATAACAAATTTGACTTCACTTGGTGAAAAGTGTTTTACAGGGCGAGAAACAGGAAGAGGCGAATTTAGAGACTCGGCAACAGCAAGATTATTTTCAAGAAAGAAGATTTCAGGATGGGGTTGGAATGTCTCATGAAGAAAATCTTTAAATAATTCGGCTTTTCCCAGTCGGTGCAGACAAAGGATCCATCTGATTTTTTAATTGGTACGTTAGGAGAATTGGGTTTACATGTTATTTTAGTAGCTCTCCAAAGACTGCCGTCATTAGGAGACAGATTCGTCAAGAATTTTTCAAGTAAAGAGGCTTTGTGTTTGGCCAACATTTTTTTAAGGAAATTTGAGAGTTTATTATAGTTATGTTTAAGAGAGGGAAGGCGAGTACGTTGGAAAAGAGCTCTAGCCCTTCTCTTATCTGCAATTAATAGACGAATATCAGAAGGAACTGAAGTCTGATTTAGAGGATGATGTGTGTGTGAATTGGATGACCAAGCCGCTAACTGGATCAATTTTGTAAAATTATTTATAGCTAGATCAATGTCCATTGGTAGATTTAAGTTTAACATTTAGCTTAACGCCCTAATTTACGAGGTTGTGAAATTTTAAACGGTCGGTAGAGAGATTAAATAGTTTAGGTGGCGCAGAGCGAGTTAGCGGAAAGGTTTTGAGTGTACATAGGACTGACGAGTGGTCGGAGTTAAGATCCAGGAAGTTAACAGCAGAAGAGTGTAGACTGGAGGGAATTTTTGTGACAAAAGTATCGAGTATGTCAGAATTTTTACGAGGAGAAGAAGGCCAATAGGTAGGGTCAGGAGGGGCAAGTACATTTAAGTTTTTTGCACTTGCGTAGGTATGAAGAAAACAGCCACGAGGATTATTTGAACGACAACCCCAACTTTGATGCTTGGCATTATAGTCGCCTCCCACAATAAAATTATTGCCAAGGGTACTAAAGTAATTGTGGAAGTCTACATTTGAAACTTTGTGTTTTGGAGGGGAATATAATGCTGATATTGTCACAGGAATATTACTTAAGTGTATTAGTACAGTGCACGATTGTAAGTGATCGTAACAGTAATTTGGAAGAGTTTGAAATATTATAGAAGATTTGATAAAAATGGCGACACCATCGTGAGCAGTATTGTCCGGATGATTAGCCTTCACCAGCTTATAACCAGGAATGTAAAAATTTGAATACTGTGTAAAATGAGTTTCCGTAATGAGCGCAATGTCAATACATTTATTGTGAAGCACGAATTGGAGCTCATTTACATGATTTTTTTAAACCGTTAGCGTTGAAAAAAAGTATTGTGAGAGATTGGTTTGTGAAAGTGTTGTTAGTCATTCTTTTTATCAAGAAGAGAGGATATTACTTTGGTAAGAAAAGCTGTTAGAGGGTTAATTAAAGCTTTGAATTCTTGCAGAAAGCTGGACATTAAGTTGTTAACGTCGGGAGCTGCAGGGGGAGAGGGGCGGTTATCATTTTGGCCTGAAGTGGCCTGCGCATATGTGGTTTCATGGGTATGTGTACGATTTGGAGGGTGGCTATCTTGAACAACGCGTGACTTATCTCTAACATTATCAAATGGAAAGTTACTTGTGGGTTTCTTACGACGTTGGAGGTCCTTGTATATTGAACAGCCCTTGTAGCTGGCCGGATGAGTTCCTTGACAAAGCGCGCATTTCGGCGGAGTACCAGGAGAGTTTGGACAATCAGATGATGGATGGAAAGCGTTACAACGAACACAGCGTGACGAATAACCACAGTACGATCTTGTGTGGCCATATTCCTGACAATTCACACACTGGCTTATTGTTTTCGTCTTAAATGGTTCCTCTACTTAAATTTTTGTATGAAGCAGAGACGTCAACTTAAATATGTCATTTGAGTAAGGGACGGGTTCCAGATCAATGAAAAAGAGCGGAAGAGGGTATTTGTTTGTTTTGTGAAGAATATTGGTCACAGATCTCACTTCAAAATGAAGGAATTCTAGCTCAGATTTTATGAGACTAATTGGAGTTGTTGGATGTAGATTCCTAATTACCACACGTATTGGCTTATCTTGTTGTAATTGATAGGTATGGTATTCAGCCTTCTCCTGTTATATATTTTTACAAACATATCGTAATGATGAGAATTTTGAAAAAATACTTAAACAAGTAAGTTACTTAGCAAATGCACTTGGTGTGCAAGATAGTTTTTCGTTAAATCAATTTCGAACTCGACGTAGAAAAACTCATTTTGATTACGAATCTCGTGATACTCCTATAACAGATCCTAAACAGAATTTCAAAATAAATATTTTTCATCAAATATTAGACAATATGCTCCAATCAATAAATGACTGATTTATTCAACTTGAAGACCATATTAAATTATTTTAATTTCTTTATAATATTTCTAATGTCAATAATTATGAACATTTAATGAAGTGCTGCAAAGATCTTCAGCTAGCACTTTCTTCAAATGACGGCTTAAATTCTGATATAAATTCTGTTGAACTATGTGAAGAAATAAATACATTACAAAGACGTTTGAAAAATGAAAATGATCCAAAAGCAATTTTACAATTTATATGTGAAAACAAATTAATAGAATTATTTCCTAATGTATGTAATGTAGCATTAAGAATTTTATTAACACTACCAGTAACTGCAGCTTCAGCTGAAAGAAGCTTTTCAAAACTAAAAATTGTAAAGAACTATCTAAGATCACAAATTTCTCAGGATCGTTTAGTTGGATTGGCCACAATTTCAATTGAAAATCAAATTTTAAATGATCTTGACATTGACGATTTAGTTAAAGATTTTGCGTCATCAAAAGCAAGAAAAGTACATTTTTAAAAATTATACTAAATATTATATTTTATAATAACTATTGTAAATTCAAAATTGTAATACCTTAACAACAACCTATGTAATATTAATTTAATAATTTCTTTTTTATTATATAATAATTGACGAGTGTAAAATGTTTTTTTTAATTTTTATGCTCCTCCATATAACAATTTTTCTATTAAAGTTATAAAAAAACAAAAGGCGGCAATTTTGATCTTTGCCTACATATAAAAATTTGCTTGCACCGGCCCTGGTTGAGCTATACAGCAATATACACAAATTTACATTTCACAAGTCGGTCGGTGCTGTGCGACACGCATAAGTCGGTGTCCGAGAGTGCGGCATATTATTTGTAGCACCCGGCCCAAACACAAGACTCAAATGGTCCAGCACTTGAATGTACTGAAGATCCGTATAAGAGAGTATTTTCCGCCTTTGGAGAAACAAAACCTTTGATTTGATGTTGATACTACAGACACTAACCTGACTACTTTTGAAAAGGAGCAGCTCATTGAAGTCTCGTGTGATCCCTCGATGAAAAACAAATTTTTAAATTCTGATACTACATTGTTAGATTTTTGGATCTGTGTTGGAAAGGAACAAAAAGAACTGTCTAGCACTGCTGTCAAATTTCTTGTTAAATTTTCCACCACTTTTTTATGTGAAAGAGGTTTTTCAAGTTTAATTTATGTTAAATGTAAATATAGAAATGAATTAAATGTTGAAGATGATTTAAGATTGTATTTAACTAAATTAGAATCCAATATTGATAAACTGTGCCAACTGAAACAAGCTCACCCATCTCACTCATTTCTTTGAAAATAAACGCTTATAGTTTTTAGTATAGTTTTTGTATATTAGTATTTAATAACTTAATCTTTTTTTTTTTTTTTTAACTTAATTATTTTTTCAGCAATCTGTTACATGTAGAACAATAAACTTAAGTGATACAATAAATGAAACAACAGGAAATGACGGAATGAAGAGGCCTCCCAGTGGAGGTACTTCGTAACTTAATCTTAATGAAATAATAATTTATTTAGTCTTTAAATTGTTTTATATATATTTTAGTTTAGTAACTAAGAAAGGGTACCCAAAAAAATTTATTGATAAAAAGGGGTACAGTGTTTATAAAAGTTTGAGAATCCCTGCTATAAGATATACATATAAAATAATTATATATAGTGGAAAAGATTCTAATTTATCTCTTCAGATAGACTTTCCTGCTGCAGGAAAAGTTGTTATGAAGTTAATAGATGGAAACGAAGGCAGGATATAAATAATTGATAATTTTTATACTAGCTTAAAATTGGCACACACATTACTTCAAAAAAAAACTCATATGGTAGGTACACTACGGAAAAATGTCAGAAAATTGTTAAAAGACGTGCTCAATACAAAAATAAAAAGGAAAGCAAATAGCAATGATGTTGTAAGATGGGAAAGAAGTATATAAGTACCAATCCTAGCGCACTCTTATCTTTTTCACTTTAAACTAGTATGCTGATAATTTTCACTTAAAACTAATAATTTTCAAATACAATATCACAAATATAATATTTTATAATATGTTTGGTTAAAAAACCAGATTTAAAAGTAGCTCTAATATGAAAACTATAATTTAAAAAATGCAAGCATAAGTTTCCCATTAAAAAAATAAAATTGCTAATATACATTTTCATATAAATTATTATTTTGGGATTTTAAGTTCATTAATGTATATTTCAGTGTATTACTAAATATTTTTTAAAACAATTTAAATGAACGGAATATTTAAAACAACTATATTAATAATTTCATATTATTAATTTTTTCAATAGTGTATTCTTATAGCCTACAACATTTAACCATAAAATATAAATTTATTTTTATTAAAAATTTCAATCTGCTTACTTTTACGATTAATAAATTCATTAATTTTTTTTTTTTTATATATATTTTTAACTTTTAAAAAAAATATTATGTATGTTTTGGTGTTTATTTAGCTAAATGTACATATTTTATGATTATTATGCATAAAATTTAGAAGAATTATTAAACCATAATTTGGATGTGTGGAAAAACTGATAAGTCACAAAAAAATGTGACTTCTAGTCGGAAATAGAAAAATAAAATGTTGAAAAAATATGACGATATTTCTATATAAAATTACAGACGTGACATATGTAATAAATAAAATGAACCGACGACGATGAATTTACGGTCAGTCAATGCCGATAAGTCATCATCGAACAGTGGTCCTGCAGCTTTTGTCTCGCGTTTTTGATGGCCTTCTCGTGCCAACTGCTGGCCAGCTTGAGAGCTTCCACTTCGCTGTTGGCCATTGCCAACAATCGGCAATCCATAGACCGTTGGTCTTCGATTGATTTGGCTTCCGCTTCGACGTTAGCCTGCTGCGACGCCTGCACGGAATTCTTGTGGTGCGCGCGCTGTTTCAAGTGTTCCGTTTCCGCCCTCAGGCAGGCCATCCGGTCGGCGTTCGCCTTCACTTTTGCCCCCATCAGCCGCCGGTCGTTCTTGGCCGTCGTCAGCTGGGCTATCGTCTCCGTCAAACAGTTGGCCAGACGGTCCTGCTCCTCGGCTAGATCCCGGAGTGTGGCCTGCGCGCAACATCGCTGCGCGTCCCCATCCAAGCGGGCTTGCTCGTGTTCCTCGTCCGTGCGCGCGCGCTTCGCCACCCAGTCAGCGGCCGCATCGCACGTGTCTGACAGCGCCATGCGCGCCACGTCCACCGACTGCGCGGCCGCGGCCAGCGCCACTGGACCCGATTCCTTGACCGTGGCCAACGCAACCTCGCGTTCCCGATGCTCGGCTGTCAGCTCCCGGACCTCGCGGCACCGTTCCACGTTCCGGTCACGCAAATCTTGCAGCTCTGATTTCTTGCGGCACAACGCATTCTTCTCGGTCTCCGCCTCGCATTGCAGTCCTTCCGCTTGAACCTTTCGCCGTGCGATAGACTTCTCCGTGCACACTAGTTGCTGTTCTAACGAATTGACGACCATCTGCGCAATAAACAACCGTTACTATCAGCTCCGGACTAGGAAGTTACTGGCCTACTATTCTAGATGAACAGGAGGCTTATAATGTATAATTTTGGGAATTTTTAAATGTGTTTGTCTCGTAAAATTGATATTTGGTAGAATATAAAGAGGTTATAGGGAGACACTTTCTCATAACCTTGATGTTCAACAATCATGATTAGTTATGTGTTGTTATTCATAATCCATGTCCCATGATACTGTTCAAAATAAATTTACTTTGTACTATAAAATACACGTTTTAAAATAATACACAAAGAATTAGTGGAGTTTAATAAAAATATCATATTATTTTTTGTGAATTAATTTATTTTGTTTCAAATTATTAATTAAATTTTTTTTTTTTAAATTTTACTACAAACATTAAACGTACAATTTACTTTATTCTCGCCCCCCCCCCCCCTATTAGAAAAACTCAGAGAACATATTATTTTGATAAACAAAAGCCAAAAACGTGTATCATGATAGAACAATACCACAGAATATAATAATACAGTCATACGGTCCGTTACAGGCTTTGTTATTAATTTATTTATTCTGTCATCTGTGATAATATTAATTATTATAACTAGCGCTAGGGACTTTATGCCCTTAAAAACCTTAAAATATGTATGCATTTATGCCCTAAAGAATCAATAAATATGCTATTAAAATATGTATTTAAAAAAATTATATTTGTAATAATTAATTAAATAAATAAATTTAACTAGTAATAAATTATAATAATATTTTTATATATGATAAATATGATGATCTGAGATAATTTTTTCTTTTTTTCAAATTTTTTTTCATCTTATATTGAATTTTTATCTAAAACAAAATATTTAAAATGGTTTTAAAAATAAATTAAATTGAAAACATTTTTTTTATTTTTAATATAGTTATAATTCTTCTAACCTTGAGCATTACATTGGACTATAAGATATTTTCTTAAGTTGGAAAATTTAAATGACTGTCTGTTATCAGCCAAAATAATTTTATATTTAGAAAAGGAACGTTACACGTCTACGGAACTTATTAGTGCAAACTTAAAAAATCGTAGGTCACTACTACTAATATCTACAGGCAATCTATCCATAGATTCATTTTTCCATTTAAAATGTTCGAAATTTTTTATAGTTAGCCTTAGCTTGTGCAAATTCTTCGATTTTTGCAGAATGTATACGTTTTTTATAGTTTTAATCATTTTAATGCATTCAATTAGTGTACCAATAAGACACCTTGAGTTCCAAGTCACGTGATATATGAAGAAATAAATCATAATTTTTTTTTATAAAATTTAAAAACTTACTCCTTCATATGAATAATTGTCAAATATGCATTTATAAAATGAAAAATGGTCAAATATGCACTTATAAACGAAAAATGGTCAAATATGTAAAATATGCAACTATAAATTTTAAATATAAACTTGTATTGCTTTGAAACAAATTTAAATATTACTTAGCTATATTTTTGATAATTATTTAAAAACATGCAAGTTCCTAGAAGTCCCGAGCCCTAATTATAACACATGTGTATAAATATATACAATATATATTATGATATGCATTAAGCACGGTGAATATTTACTGCCAAAAAGCGGATTCAGAGTAGATTTCAATATAATATAATTTATAATACATATAGGATTTTCTATAATCGTGCCTTGAGAAAATTTAAAAAATATTAGGTATCTAGGTGCTATCAACAGATAATCAGAGATTCACTATTTTGTTATCTTGGTAAAGATTTTTTTCATGGCTGCGGGTTACTGTAATGTACTACAGTAGCACATTGGGCCAGTCCGACCCTGGTTACTATTGTAATATATGAGACAAATACCATTACTACCTTAGATTTGATAAAAGTTCCCCGTGTATGACTGACCCCCTCCCAAACAAAATATGTAATACTTAGTACGAATATAGCGAGATAATATTAACTTGTTCCTTATGGATTTTGTTTTCGAGGATCTTGTTGCATTCCATGGTCTTCGCTATGACGCATTCTAATTGCGTGATATCCTTGACCGTTTGAAATTCGATGCCCTTTTTACAATGCAATGTATTTTGCATGTCGATGTTCTCCATTTGCTTCTCAACTATCTTGTTCGACGTTTTTTCATAATCTCGCGATAACATTCTGTAATCCTGTGCCAGACTAACGTAACATTGTCCGTGACTTTTTACCATATCCTCTATCGTTGCTTGGAGGTTTTCCAACTGAGCACGTATATCTAATATCTCCGACTCTAACAAACAGCATTTACTAGGCCTGCACGAGGTTTCTAGATCAGGATACGCTTCCGTCACTTGTTTAAAACCGTCGTTTAAAACTGTCGTTTCTTGTTTAAAATCGTCGATAAACAAGCAGTCGCATTTCTTTGGTTTGGAGTCTGCGCAATCGAGAATTGAAATTTGAGAATAATCCATGTTTGATTACCTAAAAATTTCCAAAATCCTCTAACACACAATTCATCGTTAAGCACATAATTATATTTCTACAAAGTCTTTCATGCTTACTGTATCGTATGGTAAAATATTAAAATATTCTCTTTTTATTATGTAGTTAAAATATTTGAAAATTAATTTTGTATGAAATTGTTGCGACTAAATCGTCTGCGTTATTGTTTTTCTTAAAACACTAGATGTTTTGTAATTTAGTAGTAACTACAAAATATACTTGTTTTTTTAAGTATGATTATGGTTACTATGACAATATTTAAAAAAAAAATCCTAACTTTTTACTGAAGTTTTTGAAATTAAAATGTAATTGATTCTATATTTGTTTTTGCATATTTACTCTCATAATAGGTAACATAATTTATCGCAGTATTAGCATATTATTTAGATTTAATATTATGTAAATCTTAAATGGCTCATGTTGGCTAGTTAGTACAATAGTACATTCCAATGAAATATCTTCATTGTATTATAAATATTGTCGAAAATACAATAAGAAACAACATCAGTCAGGGGCGTATTTAGATTTACTTCCAAGGTGGAATAACTCAAATTATTTCTTTAATTCAGGTTCAAGATTTACAAGTACAATTTTTGGTAATATTTCAATCAGTTTGAATACTTAGTATTTGTGGTTTTTTTTTTTTTTTAATCTAATGCCGGATCTACTTAGAATCAACTTATGTGTAATTTTATTTTAATATCTGTCTGTGTTTTGAAAGTTACACTTGTGTGTTATTTGATTTTTCACTAAGTATGGACCCAACAAAAAGCCCATTCAGTATTCACAGCCACGCGTAATTTGATTTCGTTATAAAATTATCCATATTAAAAATTTGAAATGTGTATCACACATATAATCAATTCCTTATACAGTAGAAGCCGCTTATTAGAAACACGGATTATTGATACAATCGCGTTATTGAAACAAAATATACCGGGACGGACCAGTCGTATATTACAACATTTAAAATAAATCGGATTATTGAAACAGTACATCGGTTATTTGAAACAATTAGGCGAAGGTCAGTTGACATATACACCGGTTATCCGTGCAATAACCAATATAATTTAATCTTATCTTTGCTGTCGTTACATTTATATTTGGACGGTACTTTATCTTACGTCCTATACGATGAGCACTTTTCTGTACGTATCGTTAGTTCAACATCAGCGTGTGTACGTAACGGTGATTAGTGTTTCGTAAATCTAAATCTAAAAATGTCCAAACGCCAAAATTTAAGAGCTAAACAGAAGTGCGATTTATTAAAATCATACGACGGGCTTCCAAAAATTAGTTTACGTGATGCCGCAGTTCGTTTAAACGTTTTTCATTGCACATTAAATAGAATTTTAAAAAATCGTTCGAATATTGAACGCGCAATAAAGGACAATGAAAATGATAGTCGGAAAAGAAGAAGTTGTAGACAAAGCGTTAAAGGAATGGTTCTTACAAGTAAAGAAAAAAGATGCCCGTATTAATGGTCCACTTTTACGCCAAAAAGCAGAAGACTTGGCAAAGAAAATGGGGAAAGACGATTTTGTTGCGACGGAAGGATGGTTTCAACGTTGGAAGAAAAGGGAGAACATCAGCTTCATTAAAACACATGGAGAGCAAAGGGAAGCCGATTTTAGTGCGGCACAATCGTGGTTTAAAACTCATTGGACCGATTTGCTATCCCAGTATTCCCCCTCTGATATTTTCAATGCCAACGAGACTGGGCTTTATTTTAGAGCTCTACCTGAACACACATACGCACTCAAAATTGACAAAGCTAAAGGGGCAAAAACGAGCAAAGAGTGACTCACAATTATGTGTTGTGTCAGCATGAACGTGGAAAAATGAAAATTGATGGTAATAGGTAAGAGTCAGAACCCACGGTGTTTTAAGGGAGTGAAAAACATTACCAGTAGATTACAAGGTAAACAAAAACGCTTGGACGACTGCAGCAATTTTCAAAGATTGGCTGATCAATTGGGATAAAGTGTTCAATTGGAACATTTTATTACTCATTGATAATTGTCCAGCTCATATCATTGACTGCATAAACTTAAGACACATAAAAGTTATTTTCTTACCAGCAAATACTACTTCGATCATTCAACCATGCGACCAAGGTATCATACGCACCTTCAAAGCTTATTACAGATCAGCAATAAGGGGAAAAGTTCTAGCAGTGATTGATAATGGTCTACACGATGCATCTTGTTCCTTACAAGCTAACATATAGCAAAAAAAATAGTCATTCTTGATGCTATTCGTCTAGCAAAAGAAGCATGGAATAAAGTAAGTGTGGAGACAATTCGAAATTGTTTTCATCACGGTGGATTCAAAACAGATGACAAAACAGACGACGAACACGAATATAGTTTGCCTGAAAAACCAGTCGATCTCTCGCATGAAGTTTATGGCGATTGGGTTGATGTGGACTTACACCTCGATGTGGCAGAGATTCAAACAGAAGAAGAGATTTGTAATACGGTAATGAATCCTTAAACAATTGAACGGGCCAATACTGATGATGAAGAAGAAAACAGCGAGGCACCCTTGGTACCACCATCAAACAAGGAAATTGTAGAAGCTTTAAGTATCTTTAGGAAAGCTGTTCAGCACCGTGCGGATGAAATAGGTTTTGAGCAGCATTATTCATATGAAAATATGGTTATGGAGTTACTTGACGCAAAAAAACAAACTTCGATCGATAAATATTTTAAATATGTAATATAGTAATTAGTAAGATAAATATTTTTAATATGTAATAAAGTAATTAGTAAGATAAACATTTTAAATACAAAAATCGTAATATATACATACATACATAAATAAATTTTCCGCGTATTTTTAATTTTTTTTTCATAGTATAAATCTAACAAATCGCTTATTAGAAACAATCGGATAATTGACATTTCACTTTGGTCCCAAAGTGTTTCTAATAAACGGCTTCTACTGTATATTATTCATATATATTCTTACGGCCGAGACACATGAGTGGGACCGCGGGAGGGGAGAGTATCCATAAAGATATCGTAACTTGTTCCATGTTCGAACAAATATGTTAAAAAGTGCTTTATAGTTTATTAAGAACTGTAGACAGGGACGGCGCCAAGGGGGGGGGGCGAGGGGGGG